GATTATATTAACATTAATTTTGGGTTATCCCACACCTTGTTTCGTTTACAAAATATATAATATGATGTTCGTATGCATATGTTCACGATTTTCTTTTTTATGTATTTACTATACTTGGCATCACATTTAAGGCTACTTAGCATGCCATCGAAATTTTCAGAAGATCGGCCAAAAACTCCGAGGGTACTCAAGGATAAATTGACGAACTTGACTTTATCATAATCTGCTTCCTGCTCTTTAATTAGATCAATAATAATAATAATAATAATAATAATTTTAATAATGATAATAATAATAATAATAATAATAATAATAATAATAATAATAATAATAATAATAATAATGATAATGAAAACTTTATTGAATTTTTTATGCACTTACAATTGAAAATCTCACTGTTAAAGGTAATTTACAATTGGCTACTTGATACGCTATATATTACTACATTTACATAACACATGGACATAATTATATGATACAAAAAGTAAGAGACCAACTAGAAGTTCATTAAATCTGGATTCGACCAATCCTTGTTTCTAGAACAGAAAACGTAATATGTCGTTCTTATTGCAATGTTAATGATTTTCCTAATGATATATTTAACACCGGCCTTATCTGAGTTCAAATGTTCCAACATTTGTATGAAATGTGAAGATTCTTTTTCAAAAACACCGAGTGCACTGATTGAGAGGTTAATGAACTTTACCGGCCGGAATTTTTTCTTTTGTTCTACGATCATCTCTTTATATTTTGAATATTTGCGCTGTATATTATTCCTCAGGTTAGTCTCATATCCAACGGTTAGTTCGAGTACATACAGACAATTGTCTTTGGTCAAAATTAGTAGATCAGGACGATGGTCATCACCAGTAATAATAGAGGGATTAGGGAATGACGGTAAGTCAGCATAAATGGTCTGAATATGTTCTGATGGGAGGTTATTAGCAATAAAATTTAGGATTGAGTCGTGTCTCCAAGTAAATCGATCAAGATAGGAACTACAGCCAGCAACAACGTGTAACAGAGATTCAGGTTTAAGGCAAAACGAGCACTCAGAGGACGAGGAGAGTCCCCATTTTTGAAGGTTTTTACGGGTTGGTAGCGAATTGTTTATGTAGCGAATAGTGAAGTTGAAAATGTTTTTTGGTAGTTTGGATTGACAGGTTGGCCAAATCGAATTTACTTGGGGTAGTGAAAATTTTGAGATGCTGGAGAAGAATGAACCTTGACATTTTAACCGATTTTCCAATTTATCTTCATGAACTTCACGGAATGACTTGATTACTTCTTTTGTCGACGTATACTGATCATATTGGGTGTTAGTATGATTACAGGTCGATTTCCAGAGGTGGGTTATTGATTCATTAGGAGATGACTTCAAAGCACTGCGGATAGTTGTTTGACATTGTATGAATTTAGTTGATGGGGGGATAATGTTCAGACCAAATTTGTTACTGGTTAGGTAAATGTTACTAAGTGATCCAGAAATAGGTACCTCAAGCCATTTACGAATGTATTGTTTGAAAACTGAGTCCAGGTTTTCAGAAATCCACGTTTTTTGAATTGATGTTATAGTGAAATGCCATGAGAGTTTTGAAAGAACGTAGCGACTGTAGAGGAGAATCTTGTTTTTCGGATGTAATGGCTTCAGATCTATTTCTTTCATTAGGTCTGTCAATAGGGAGACTAATTCTGATTTATGTTAATTATTGTTTGTCATTTCGTAATCAAAGTACCTTCCTAAATAGCAGAATGTTTTTCCACTTTCAACAGCTGGAATAATAGATTTGTTAATGATTAACTTAGGGAGGTATTGAATTGATTTGGTGAGAGCTTTTTTGATGCCAAAGGTGCTAAACATTTATCTACTCAAATAATCATGTCTGACCATTGACACCAAATTGCAAAACCGTTTAGTAGGTGATGATTTTCATATTCTTGGCCGGTTATTACGGCTGCGTCGTCAGCGAACTGGAACCAATGAATTGGGTTGGGAAGTTTATAAGAAAAACCAAACTGTTGATATTTCTCCGATCTTATGTGCTGGATAAAAGTATTGAAGCATAGGTTAAGTAGTAATGGACTAAGGCAATCTCCCTGCAAAACTCCACGACCTACTTCTACAAATGGGGTGTTAAAATCAGATGTGATGATTGATGTTTTAAAGTTTGTGTAAAGGCTTTTAATCATGAGTTGAATATGTTGAGGTATGTGATGATAGCCAAGAACAGATTGGATTAAATTGTGATGTACTTCACCAAACGCATTCTTGAGATCAAGAAGGGTTATATCGAGAGATCGCTGTCTTATTCGTGCTTGATTGATTATATAAGCCATTTGTGCTGTATGTTCAAATGTCCCCGATATATGAGGGGTGAAGCCCTTTTGAATTTCGTGCTCGATAAAGTTATTGGAGAGCAGGTAAGAGAACATTGCATTACGGAGACTTGAAGTGAATACTTTCAGTGGCACGGCATTCTTCCTCCTGATTAGTATTGTAGACTGAGGTGGTGTCGATACATCTAGGTCTCCAGCACAGTTGTTGTTGCTTTTTTCCTGTTCAAATACATTTTCTAATAGCTCTTTATTTAGTCCCATGATGACCTGACAACTACGTTGATGCATTTTTAAACCTCGAGCGCCTTTACAAACCTTTCCGCAACAACACTTTGTTCCCGACTTTTTAACAGCGGCTGTAGTTGGTGGAGTGATGACGGGCTCCGCATTTATTCCATGTGATGCAGAATGGTTAGAATAAGCATTTGAATTACGATTATTAATCTTGTTATTACAACGCCATTAATGTCGACCAAGGGACACAAAATCCTTTTCACAAAATGAACATATAACACAGGACAAATGTAAACAAATAAAGCTTGAACGGATCATAATTAATATTAATGAATCCAAAAGTCGTAGATTGTAGATCAAGTAAGAATATTTCGATTAAACTTCAGACATGTGCAAAGCACGTCCTGCTCAGCTCGTTGAATCTTATTATTATTATGATAATAATAATAATAATAATAATAATAATAATAATAATAATAATAATAATAATAATAATAATAATAATAATAACAATAATAATAATAATAATAATAATAATAATAATAATAATAATAATAATAATAATAATAATAATAATAATAATGAAAACTTTATTAAATGTTTTTCTTTACATACATATACAATCGTAAATCTCTCTCATAAAGGTAACTTACGGTTGGCTATTTGAATCACAATTATACTAAACTAAAAGAACAGAACAAAGTGCATGCAATATATATATATATATACAATGAGATAAGTCAAATTGTTAGTAAATCCGGATTTTCCCATTCCTTATTTCGGCAACAGAAAATGTAATATGTAGTTCTAATAGCAATAGTCATCATTTTCCTAACGCAGTACATTTGGTGGTTTTTGTCAAGACCAATACTATCTAACATGTCTAAAAATGTATAACATTCTTCTGCAAAAATACCTAAAGAGCTGATGGAAAGATTTATAAATTTAACTTGGTTAAAATTTTTACCTAGCTGTCTCAATAATTCTCTATATTTATCCTTCTTCCGTTTTACGTTGTTTTTGAGGTTTGTCTCATAACCAGTGGTGAGTTCAACCACATATAAGGAACCATTTGAGCACGATAATAACAAATCTGGGCGATACGTATCACCAGTAAGTATTGAAGGGCTTTTGAATCCATTTAGATCAGCGTAGAGAGTAGAACCGTCAACAGTTTGTAACTGATGAGCAAGAAAGTTCAGGACTGAATTGTGTCTCCACGTAAATCGGTTGAGATAAAACTGACATCCAGCTACTATGTGTAGTAATGTTTCAGGGCTAAGACAAAAAGAACAGTCTGAATTTGAAGATATTGCCCATCTGTTTAGGTTTTTACGCGTCGGAAGAGAGTTGTTAATGTAACGAATGGTAAAGTTGTAAATGTTTTTCGGGAGCTTTGATTGGGCGACGGACCACACCTTGCTAAGCTGAGGTAAAGCGAACTTCGTGACGCTGCAGAAAAAGGATCCTTGACTGGTTAATTGGTTTAGGAGTTTGTTTTCGTGTCCAGAACGGAAATCTTTGAGAACTTCCTTAGTAGAGTTATAAGCGTCATATTGGATATTAGTATGGTTACTGGTTGCTCTCCACAGGTCGTTAGTTGATTCATTAGGAGAAGATTTTAAAGCTTTTCGGAGGACTGTTTGACACTGGATAAATTTTACAGATGGAGGATAAATACTCAGGCCAAATTTGTTATTTGTTAGAAAGACAGTACTTAGTGTTCCTGATATTGGTACTTCAAGCCATCTGCGGATATATTTGTTGGCAATAGAGTCGATATTTTCAGTAACCCATGTTTTAGAGAGTGTTGCGACGGTGAAGTGCCAGGCTAACTTGGACAAGACGTAGCGACTGTAGAGGAGCAGTTTATTTTTGGGGTGTAGTGGCTTTGAGTCAATATCAGACATTAGTTCGTTAAGTAGGGTGGTTAGTTCAGTTTTGTGATTATCAAGAAAGATTATAATAATAATAATAATAATAATAATAATAATAATAATAATAATAATAATAATAATAATAATAATAATAATAATAATAATAATAATGGAAACTTTATTTATTTCATAATATACCATAAAACTATATTTACATTGATAAACCTCGCTCATAAAGGTAGTTTATCGATGACTACTTGAAAAATATTTGGATTATATAAATTTACAAAAATAGGAAATTTAGTATTGTTCAAAATTTTAGAAGCTCTGGGCTAGTCCAGCCTTTGTTTCGCTGACAGAATACATAATATGATGTGCGAATACAAATAGCAATGATTTTCTTTTTAATGTATTTAATTTGTTGTTCATCGAACTTCAGTTCCTTGAGCATATCCGTTAAGGTGTTCGTCGATTGACCAAAAACACCTAGCGAGCTTATGGATACATTAACAAATTTTACCTTATCATAGTTACTTTTTTGATCTGAAGTAAGCGGCAGGTATTTTTTATGTTTTCGATCTGAGTTAGAGGTAAGATTTGTTTCAAAGCCAACAGTCAGTTCCAAAACATATAAAACTTTATTTTCAATTGCCAAGAGACGGTCTGGACGTAACTGATCACCAGTGATAACTGACGGAGTAATAAAGCCAGGCAAATCTACGTATAGTTTGGATCGCTCGGCACTCATAAGGCTGGATGCAATGAGGTTCAGGACTGAATTATGCCGCCACGTAAATCACCCTTGATCTAGGTATGCTTTACAACCAGAGATGACGTGCAGGAGTGACTCAGGAGAGGAGCAAAAGGAACAATCGGCAGACGATGACAGACCCCATTTGACCAGGTTTTCCGAGTAGGGAGGGAGTTGTTGATATAACGGACAGTGAAATTAAATATATTCTTAGGAAGTCTGGATTGAACGGATGACCATAAGGAATTGAATGATGAAGTGGAGTTTTTGATGATACTTGAGAAGAAAGAACCTTGTGAGATAAGGTGGTTTTGTAGTCTCTGTTCATTTTCATTCCTAAAGGCTTTCAAGACATCCTTCGCATTTTTATATATATCATACTGAATATTCTTGTTCGTGCTTGTTATTGACCATAATTTGTTGATGTCTTCGTTTATAGCGCTTTTAAAGTTGAACGAGAAACAAGTTTTAGATATATCCGTTATTGTTAAGTTCCATGAGATTTTTGAGAGTAAGTAGCGACTATATAGAAGAATTTTGTTTCGGGGGTGTAAAGGTAATTTATCAATTTTCGATATAATATCATTAAACAGATCACACAATTCGGATTTGTGTCTTTCATCGGACATGTTTAAATCGAAACAACGACCAAGATAGCGGAAAGATTCTCCGAGTTCGATACGGGGTATAAGTTGGTTATTAACGAACAGCTTAGGTTGGTACTGGATAGACTTAGATGAGCGTTTTTTAATTCCAAATGAAGAGCACTTGTCAACACGTATTATCATATTGGCCCATTGACACCATACTGTGAAACGATTGACCAGAATTTGATTTTCATTTTCTTTTTCTTGGCTGCTGATGACAGCCGCGTCGTCTGCGAATTGAAACGAATGGATAGGGTTTCACGGAATACCAGTTTTATTCAATTTCCAAAAGCCAAGCTGGGCGTATTTCTCAGATTTTATGTGCTGAACGAATGTGTTAAAGGACATATTGAATAAGAGAGGACTGAGACAGTCACCTTGTAAAACGCCACGTCCGATTATGATAGAAGGAGTACTGAACTGTTCTGTTATAATGGATGTTTGGAAGTTTGTGTAAAGACTTCGTATTAGGTTGTTTATTTGACCTGGGATGTGACGATACTGAAGGACTTCGTGAATGAGATTATGATGGAGTTCACTGAAAGCATTCTTAAGATCAAGCAAAGTAATTACAACAGATCTTTGTTTTATACGGGCTGTGTTGATTATATGTGCCATATGAGCTGTGTGTTCAAGAGTTCCTGCAACGTTAGGAGTAAAACCTTTCTGGATGTTATGTTCTATGTAATTGTTTTCAGCTAGGAAAGTGAATATTTTATTACGAAGACATGATGTAAATACTTTGAGTGGGACAGATTCTAGAGTTATTGGTCTGAAATTAGCGGGATTGTCAGTTTCTTCTTTTTTGTGGATCAATATCGTACACGCTTTTTTTCCATTCTGATGGAACAGAACCAGAGGACCAGACAGCATGGATAATTTCTGTTAAATAAGTTCTCAAATATGGGCAGCGTTTCAGACATATCACAGATATTTGGTCAAGAGGACACGGAGAACCAGACGGTTTCATCTTACGAATGATATTTGTAATCTCATGATAGGTCGGGGGGTCAAGATTAAATTGTATAATAATAATAATAATAATAATAATAATAATAATAATAATAATAATAATAATAATAATTGTAAATCTCACTTCTTGAGGTAACCTACAATTGACTACTTGAATCACTTATACATGCATGGTTATAATTTTATATACAAAAATTGCTACTTACTTATAGAAATAGTTACTTTAAATGTTCATTAGTTCGGGATTTGTCCATTCTTTATTTCTACAGCAAAATATGTAGTACGTTGATCGGATGGCAATAGATATCATTTTTCTGATACAATATTGTTGGTGTTGATTATCCAGTCCTAACTCATTTAGCATTTTTACGAATGTGTGACATTCTTTGTCAAACACCCCTAGCGAACTGACAGAAAGATTTATAAATTTAACAGATGTAAAGTTTTGATCCAGTTCTCTAATTAGGTTTTTATATTTAGCTATCTTGCGGTTAACATTGTTTGTGAGGTTTGATTCAAAGCCTACGGTAAGTTCAACGACGTAGAGGTGTTTGTCTGAAGTGGAGACAAGTAAATCAGGACGATATTCATCTCCCGTAATAAGCGAGGGGCTTTCACATCCAGGAAGATCAACATGTAAATTGCATTCGTTTAAACTTTGAAAAGTTTTTGCAAGAAAGTTTAGTATGCAATCATGTCTCGAAGTAAATCGTTCCAAGTAATGTTGACAACCGGCAACAACGTGTAGAAGTGATTCAGGGTGTAAGCAGAACGAGCAGTCAGAACTTGATGAATAATAATAATAATAATAATAATAATAATAACAATAATAATGGAAACTTTATTAAATGTTTTTCTTTACATACATATACAATCGTAAATCTCTCTCATAAAGGTAACTTACAGTTGGCTATTTGAATCACAATTATACTAAACTAAAATAACAGAACAAAGTGCATGCAATATATATATTTATAATATAGCATTTGTAAATTCTGAACGCTGATTGGCTAAGAGCCGTGTTGATATAACTCCATGTCAACACGGGAAATTTTCCGCCGCTTGGTAACACGGAAATTTTTCTTATTCTTCGGGCTTTTGACATTGCTATATTATAAAACAAATATAAAACATTTTTCCGTATTGATATATCGTTATATCAACACTCGTGGAAGTTGGGAAAACTCGAAATTGTGTGAAAACATTCCGCCCTTCGGGCGTCGTGTTTCCACCCAATTTCTC